AAAGAAAGAAAGAAAGAAAGAAAGAAAGAAAGAAAGAGGAGAAAGAGAGAGAGGGAGGGAGGGAAGGGAAGGGAAGGGAAAGGAAAGGAAAGAAAGGAAAGGAAAGGAAAGGAAAGGAAAGAAAAGAAATTCTCAGTCCACCTGACGTGATTACACTGTTCTGAGCTGGGTAGATGACTCTAAATACAACCTTGAAGGTAAACCTAGAAACATAGAAATGATGAAATAATCGAACCCACAGTATTTATAATTTTGTCTTAAAATTAGGAATGTTTCATAATCATTCAGGATGTGTTTGTAGTATATATTTTTAATGTTCTTAATGTTGAAGAGAATTTGAGCAAGGGACTCTGACAGACTAGCCCTGTAATTTTGAATTGAATGTATAATTTATTTTTGTATGAGATGAGATTTTAATTGTAAAAGTTTAAGAAATTTGTTGAAATTTTTGAACACTATTGTAAAACTGAAAAGAACTTGAATTACTACATTTGGTTGATTAGGTTTACAGGAGGTTTTTTTAATTTAATTTTTTTTGGAGGGGTAGGTATTTATTTATTTACTTATTCGTTTATTTATTTATATGGAAGTACTGGGTATTGAACTCAGAATCTCCTGCAAGTTAAGCACACACTCTACCACTTAGCTATACTCTTCTCCCAGGAGTTGTTTTAATGTATATAAAGATATTACTTGTTGGAGTTTTCAGCATTGGAAATGTTTGGAAATTTAACCAGGTTTGTAATTAATGGATATCAGGTGTCCACTGCCTAACAAATTTAACTTCTCAAAATTATAGTTAAATATTAATTAAAGTTCAAATGAAGATGGTTATTCTAATTTTTATACTCAAACTATTAAATGTGTAAATAAAATACTAGAATGTATAAATTAAACTTGAAGGCCTAAAAGGAAAAAGTTAGATCTCTTAAAGTTTTAATAAACTGAATATAACTTCAAACCCAAGGATACTGATTTTGTGCACAAAAGCCTCCTTCAGACATCAGACTCAGACTGGTAGGAGCGAGCCAAACTGTTGTTTCATAAAGAATGGGAAAGAGGTGGTTGTAAAGTGGTGGGGAGGATGACCAATGTGGGAGCACAAGAGGACGAAGGATGAGGAAGAAGAAGGACGTTTGCCCAGAAAGTTGGAGAGAAAGGTGTGTTGATGACTTAGAGAAAGTCTTACTTTCATCATTTCTGCAAAAGAATTTCAGCACATGTTGAAAGAAAAAAAAAAGTACACATGGAACATTCTCCAAGACAGGCTGTGTGGTAGGGCATAAAACAAATCTCAATAAAATTAGTAAGTTATAAATCCAAAAAAAAAAAAGAATTTCAGCACAGACCAACATTATTTTTTTCGTTTTAAATCAACTTTATTTTTTATTTATGCACTCATTCTAAGTATATAGACTGATGACTTTTGGCAACTGTATACTCTTGCCCAACCACCATCACAATCGAGATCTAAAACATTTCCATCACCCCATGAAGCTTTTAGGTGTCTCCTCAGCCCTGACCCCAAACACTGATCTGATTTCTACCATTACAGGTTGGTTCCAGCTGTTGGTTTTATCTATTCCAGAATTCCATATTCCATAAGAGTATATATGCTTCGGGGTGTGGCTTCTTTCATTTGGCATAATGTTTTTGAAATTTATCCGTATTGTTGCATGTATCAGTTGTTCCTTCTTTTTAAATTGCTGAATGTTATTCCATTGTACGGACTTGTTTATGCATTCACTTGCTGATAGACATCTGGGTTGCTTCCAGCTTGGGCCTATTATAAATCAGGCTGTTATGAACATCAGAGTGCAAATCTTTTTTATAGACATTATTTTTTTCATTTCTCTGAGAAGATGAAACTTCCACCTAGAAGTGGAATTGTTGGTCATTTGTTTAGCATATGTTTACCTTTATATACGAAACTGCCAAAATTTTTCAAAGCAGTTGTATCATTTTACCCTCCCCCTTACATTCTGCCTCAGCACATTCTGGTGTCCGATTTCTTTCTTTCAAGTAAGACAGAATCTTCACTGGCCTCAAGGTGGCCCCAGCACATCCCAGTGAGTGCAAAGAGATCTTACAGCTGGAGGAAAGGAAGCCCAGCCCGGAGACAGCTTTGCCTTCTGCCTCTAGTGATCTGCTGTGCCTTTCCAGGGAGCAGGAAGGGCAGTCCTTTGGACCCAGGAGTATTGCTTTCAGGGAGGGAGTTACTTTGCTCTGCCCACCAATTGATCGTGAGTTAACCTGATCCCACATCCCCCCCAGGGTGATGAAGAGAAGGTCACAAGGCCACAGGCAGTGTTTATGGTCGCTTATACATCTTGGCACTTACAAACAGGGGCCGTTCAGAGCTGCAAGGATGGGGAAAGGGACATGAAAGATGCCTCTTAATAACTCAAGCCCACCCCTTCCCCATCTCAATCCCGAAGCAGTTTCTCTCATCTGAGCTTTCAGGAAAGGAAGAGGGACTCCCAGATGAGGCTGCCTGCAGGGCCCAGCCACCCTCAGGCCCAGGTATCATCCTTCCTGAGCAAAGGTGCAACATGGGCAGCCTAGAAATGGGTGAGCCGGGGAAGACAGACCAGGTGGGGGCCTCCAGTTGGCAGTAGTGACGTCTCTGCCCGAGGATGAGAAAGGGGGAACAGGACCTGGCAGACGCACGTGAACGAAGGCCCAGAGGTGCAGCGGTGGAAGGACGTGGGGACAAGATGACAAGCAAGACTGAAGAGATGTCCCTTTCCCTCAGCGAGAAGCTGTGCAGAGGCTGTTGCTGGGGGCAGGCTTGGGGGAAACCGAGTCTCTCTGACTCCCCATCTCAGCGTGGAGGCCAGAAGCAGATTTGTGACAGTGAGGGTGACATCCTCCCTTCTTCCATGCCAGGCCACTTAGAATAGAGCTTACCTTTCCCGAGCTTCGTCACGGAAGGTCATCCCGGCCAATGATATTCGAGGTCAGTCATGCGACAGTTTCCCAGGTACTTTTTAGAGAGATGTCCTTGCACCGATTTCTTCCGCCTGCATCTGTTTCTCCATCCGCTGCCTGGAATAGGAACAGACTCTCTGGATCATTGTGGGGGAGCCACACCGAGGGAAGGGTTTGGAAGGAGCAGGCCCCCCTAGGACTTTGGGGTGTAGAGCTGCCCACCAGCACTGAACAGCCCGCCACCCTCCTCCTTTTATGTGAAAAAGAAACAGCTGCTCTCTCGTTTGAGCCATTGTTTAGTATTTTTGCTGTTACACCCGAAACCAGTCTTAAAAAATTATAGAGCCAAGGGAGGAGATAAGGCTGGACAGGGAAGCAGGTCCCAGCTGGTGATAACACTGCATTCTGATATCCGATCCAGACCGAATTGACCACTTTAGTGATCACAAACCCTGGAGGAGACCAGAGTGAGCAACTGAGTCAGAGGACCTCTGGGGTCCTCATCATTTGGGGCAGAGAAGGGCTGCACCCTCTGCAAACTCTCCAACCCCAATTCACGCATTTATTCATCTGTCCGACAAATAGTCACTGATCTTCCACTATGTGCCAGGAACTGTTCTAGATGCTGGGAACGGGACAGTGAATAAAACACCAAAACTACCCCTCCCAAGGAAACTTACATGCTAACAGAGGAGACAGATGCTACATAGGATAAATAAGAAAAATAGAAAATATGTTATGAAGTGGTCAGTGAAAAGGAAATAAAAGCTGAGAAAGGGGATAGGAAGGAGGGAGTTAATTCCAGTTAGAGCAGCTAAGACTGGGCTCACTAAAAGGCAACATCTATGTAAAGACTTTTTAAAACATTAGAGGGACGCAGGGGAGAGAAAATACAGTTGTGTCTTGATGTCATGGGTATTAATTTACCAGGTACAAACGTGTGTGTGCCTGCAGGTGTGTGTTCATGGGCGATGGACGACCTGATTGGCCAAGGTGAGGTGTTTGGGACGGAGAATGAATGTGGACCAGGGCAGGACAGGCCTCTGAGCCCAGCCCCAGACCTCAAGTATGGCCAAGAATGGGCCATGTGCCACCAGCTCTGGGCAGCATCAGCAACACCTCCCAGGCTGGACGGCGCTATCTGGGAGGGAGGACGGGCCCTGGAGATTGCAGAGCCTCCTGTGTCTGGCCCTGTGGCATCAGGGGCTGGGGACAGCACAGGGTGACCGTGGGCTCTCCACGTCCTGCCTCCCCCCAGCCCACCACCTGTCACTTTCCACTCTCCACAGGCAGATGGGTCTGATCTGATGGGGTTTTTTCCAGGCTGGGCTGGTGGCCCAACCCAGCAGTGATCAGGAGGACAGGGCAGGGACCGTTCCAAGGGAGATGAGGTGTGTCCCAGAGCCCACATGGCTGGGGGCAGGGACTGGGGGTCAGGGAGCAGCTTTGCCAGGAGCAAGTGGCGGCTGGGAATGGGGAGGTCGGCAGTGCCCCCATCCCACATCCTGTTTTTTGAATGGGCCCCAGCATGTGCTTCCCTTTGGACTTGGTCCAGGCTGGTGTCTCCCCACCCAGGCCTGGTCCCAAGGGAACCCCAGCACTCCCAAGCAGTGACCTAGGGTTTTTCCAGGCTGGGCTAGGCCCCTAAGCCAGTGTAGATGAAAGACATGTTTCCCACCCCTTCTTGAAATCGGGCCAGAGGCCCCCATCAGCACATGGGAAACCATACAGGCCCCCATGGCTGAAGAGAAGAGAAAGTGTCACCAAAGAAGTGAATCCTGGCATGATGCCCACCAGCCCCACACAAAGCCCCAGGGACCGGCAGGCCGTGAGACACCACCTGGGAGGCCCAGCCAGGCTGGAGTGGGGACATTTCCACGATGAGCCTAAGAACATGAGCTCAGAACCAGTGAGGCTGGGCATGAGGCCAGACCCTGCTATTTCTTGCTGCGTGACTATGCCAAGCGGCTTAGACCCTCTGAATCTCCGCTTCCCTCCTGCCGGGATCATTAAGGGGATTAAATGAGCTAATTCGTGTGATGGGCGAGGCAGGGCCTGGCCTAGAGCAGGGGCACAGGTGAGGGAGGAGAACGGTGTGCAGGCTCGGCAGATGCCTAGAAAGGCAGAGCGGAGGAGGATGCAGCTCAGTGGCAGAGTGCCTGCTTAGGATGCACGAGGTCCTGGGTTCAGTCCTCATTACCTCCCCCTACACAAAAAAATAAACGAACAGCAAAGGAAAATGATCAAACTTGAAAAAAACTGAAAATTTTTTAAAAAGGCAGAAGGGACAAATAGACTTCTCAGTCTTGAAGTGTCCCTTCCCTGGCTGCTCTGGTCACCATAGGTCATCCTAAGTCCCCTCCCCTAGGGGACAGCTTCTCCTGCCACCAAGAAGGTGACAGTTCAGAGCCTCATGGGGGAAAAGAAGCCTTTCCCTCTATTTATTTTTCACATTATAAAATGACACGCTCATTATAGTAAATCTGGAAATTACAGAAAAGCAGGAAGGAAGCAAAAGCTTTAACTACCAAAGCCAGACACTCTTGAGACCTTAATGTTTTTCCATACAGGATTTTTTTTTCCAGGCATGGGCTTTTTTTGTTCTCTGTAACATGGTTGGGACCTTAGCATCAAGACATAGAGCCATGAAGGAGACTTAGGGGTCACCTGGCCTGGCCTCCCCAGTGGACAAGCCAGGAGACTCTGGCCTGGAAGAGCTGAGTAACTTGTCCAAGGTTAGCAGTGGCAGAGCTACAGCGAGAGTTACTAGGTGTCTGCTGCCTCTTAAAATACCAGTTCCCCCAATACAACCACAGAACCCCGCTCCAGGCCTGAGGACCGCCTTCAAAGGGGACAGTCAGTTGGTAGTGGATCTAGGCCTTCCAATTTAGGGGAGTCTGTTGGGGATGGGTTCCCTCAATAAGAGGCACAGCTCTGGTTAACCCCTTCTCTAATTTCCAGTTGGAGACACAGTTGTGGGATGGGGATGAGGGTGGGGGTATAGGTCCGTGAGGGGGGATGGAAAGGGAGGGCCAGCAAGGGGTGTGGCCCTGGGTCTGTTCCCAGGGGTGGAGCCAGCCAATAGGGTCACCCTGTCCCTTTAAGAGAAGGGGGAGAGCTAGCCCCTCTCAGCCATCCTGTCTTGTCATCCATCCTGGCCAAATCCAAAAGGGAAAATGAAAGAGGGACCAGGAGGAACAGGTCCCAGACATCTCCCAAGATCCTTCACTCAGCTTTAACATCCCAGTTCCAGCAACAGGGTGAGTGGGGATGGGTGAGGGTCTAGGAGCATCAGGGACCTGTGGGACCTGTCGGGGGTTGCGTGGGTGTGTTGGGGAGGCTCTCGTGAGATATGGGAAACTGGACAGAGGGACACCAGGGAGGAGATGGGAGAAGCCTGGGGCTAGCATTCCGCCACGCTGGGATCAAATGGCAGGAGACACCTCGGACAAAGGATCCTGACAGAGTCATGGAAGTGGGGATACCTTTCTGTCCACTCTTCAATTCTGAGAGGAGTTCACAGTAGTAAAAAGGACAAGAGAAGCGGTGGGCAGAGAAAGGAGGTGAGTCCCTCTGGGTTTGCTGGCTCCAGCTTTCCCAGGGGTACCAAACTGGGTGGCAGTCCTGGGTTTGGGGGAATCACTCTTGCCCATGGAAAGCATCCTGGGGTTTCTGCTTCTACAAATGCAGTCAGGGGCTGGCGGGTCTGATCTCCAAGTTCCTTTCCCATGAACTGGGACTCTGGAGGAGCACAGGGTCCAACCAACCAGGACCATAGGTGTCTGACTAAAGCACCAGGTGGAGCGCCTCCCCAGTGCCCATCGGCCCCAAAGAGAAGGACACCACAGTTGAGAAGCACTGAACCCCTCCCGCCCCCCGCCCCATACTGTCCTTAATTTCCTCAAAGTCCCTGCTAAACCTAGGCCTAGCTGACCCCCTGGCTCACCTCAAAGTTAGAGGAGGTCTAAGTGACCCCACCACGACGGGCTCGGAGGACTGGGGGACCCGATCCTTCCCAGCCCCTGACTGTCCGCCCCGCGTCTGTCCCCAGCGCCATGGGGGAGTGGGCGTTCCTCGGCTCCCTGCTGGACGCCGTGCAGCTGCAGTCGCCGCTCGTGGGCCGCCTGTGGCTGGTGGTCATGCTGATCTTCCGAATCCTGGTGCTGGCCACGGTGGGCGGCGCCGTGTTCGAGGACGAGCAGGAGGAGTTCGTGTGTAACACGCTGCAGCCGGGCTGTCGCCAGACCTGCTACGATCGCGCCTTCCCCGTCTCCCACTACCGCTTCTGGC